CCGGCAGCCGGCAGCGGTCGTTCCTGCCACTTCGCAGAAGCAGCAAAGCGAGTCGCCGCGGGTCCTGTGGCTGCCACTGCGCCGATCCGTCCATCTCCCTGCTTTTCAGGGAGGCCTTGAGCGCGCCATCCAGTGCAAAAGATCACCCATCTGGGCCCTCGCAGGTGGCACTCAGGAGCCTATGCAGCGGTTCTTCATCAAAGCGAGCAGCGCCGTCGCAAACAGCCCACGTGCGGTGTTCCCCTGTGTCCCGCGCCCACCTCGCGACGACACCAGCGTTGAAGGTAGACATCCTTTGTCCGAAGCACGACGGGGCCGCCGATGGCTTTGTACCACCGCCGAAAAAGATGTGCGCTGATGACGAGTCTTCCAGCGCGGTGCTGGTCACACTCAATCCCCCGCTCGCCCGTTTGGTGGCATGAACAATGCACCATAAGTCTTCAACGCACTCCCACCGTTGGTTTTGGAACGCCTCCACATCGGGGAATTTTACCGTTACGCTTTCCGCTCTGCATTTATTTCCCAGAGCCTTGTTCTTATTAATTTTTCGCTGCTCCGCAAAAATTCAAGTAACAGAACGTTATTTATTTCATTGTTTCGTCCACAAAGAAAGGCCAAGTGGTACGTAATTATGCAGAAGGGCTTAAAACCAACGGCAATGTCCAACATTCACCTTGGCGTAGCAAACCAAGCACGGGGGGTGTTTGTGGCATCTCACCAGCGTACCAATGTCGCGATTGTGGCAAATTTTAGAGTACCCTACGTGACCCGCACACTGCTAAAAGTTATACTTCGAAGTGAACAGGATGCTGGGTCCACTCTGCCAGGACATGAACGATCTTGATCTGTCGAGGGCCTACCTGATGCGTGTCTGTGAATGCCTTTGATAATGGGATGATTGATTATTGACTGACTCCTCCACGCCTTTGACATTGCTTGCAGGCGGCCACCGTCGCCAGCCACACAAGCCCAATCTCTTTTGAGCCCCTAGATGACCCACACTGGAGCACACTTTTCAAAAGGCCAGATGCCGAGCTGATAGAGTTTTTATGAGTGCATGGTAATGTAAGGTTGGACATGTCATCGTGGGGAACCTTGAGGCTGGTCCAGTCGTTATATGTGGAGCATTAAAGCCGGGAAAGCCGTCATGAGCTAAATCGTCACGTCATGCCTTGAGATGATAACTATGATGAGCTGCTAATGGAGTGAGGCTGCCAAGGAGGCACTTCTAAGTAGGAGTACCCGCTGAAGCGAGGTGGTTGTACATGACTAGGTGATAATAATTCTATTTAGAGAACATTTTGAACTGCCGGTCTGGCATAGTTGATATTGATTCCACATTTGACTTCAAGCTTTCCCTTCACCAGAAACAAGAAATCAGCACTACCTTAAGCGAGTATGCAAGCCATTCCACATCGCAGCAGGAGAGAATAGGATTCCTGTGCCGCTGACTGAATGCTCAGCCGACTGGTGAATGCTGCAAAAGAACAAGAAACTCCAGGTTCATCCCCGAATAAAGATTTGGAAGTTTGCCACAGCTCTCCAATTTATCACTACCCCAGAGCACGGCGAAAGCACAACCATGATAAGTATTGTACAGAAGATCTGCTGCACAATGCATCGCAACTACATCGCCATGCCCCCCATTCAACGTTCCAAATAAGAATTTCCTAACAGTTCATGGCCATCCTCTATTAGTGCCATTTTTCGGCAAAATATTGGCAGAAAATGGTCGTTTCAATTTGAGCAACGCGCAGATCCACAAACACTGTGATTTACAGTCCAGCCAGCTGTTCTGCCCTTTGGCAGACAAGATCCAGGTGCTGTCTTGCCAGCACGGAAGGATCGAAGCCACCCCATTCAGCCACCTCTGTCATCAGTTCTTTGGCGTTGTAGGGATCTCCGGCCCCGCGACTGTATGTTCTGTGCCAAAACATGCCCGTTTATCAGGTTGTTGTGCAGGGCTCGAACACCAGAAGCTTAGAAAAGGGCAATGCTTTGTCTCGCAAGGTCTTGCAACACCTGGGACTACAGCAGACAGGACAATTTCCACACAATGTATGTACTTTCTTAAGTGGCCGAACCGTGAAATTGCTTAAGCAGTAGGCCCTGCAGTACAGATTGTCACATCCATAACATTTCATTGCCATCCACAAAGTACACGGTGGCACCTTGCTCGAGCTACAAAACAATACATAAATTCACACTGCAATCTACTGTATTTAGTCTGACTTCTGAAGTCCTGACGTTTGAGTGAACACCCTTTTCTGGCAAAGTTAATACAAACTTGGCACGTCCAAACACTTTATCAGTACATACTTTTGCACCATAGTACCATAAACTTGTATCCACGCTTGTTATTTACTTGCGGTTGATTTGCAACTTCTTCTACAAACGATGCACAGCAGGGTATGCCAACAAATTGCTGACAGCTTACAGCAGGCTCCTGCGGGCATCAATTGTCTATCAGTGAAAAAAACCCATTTGCAAGCACTGTTCAACATAATTGGCAATGTCCTTCCACCAAAAGAGTGATCTTTGCCAATATTACGTTAAGTATTCTATTTCCATAAGAACCACACACAACAAGAGATGGAAAGCATTGGCATCCAATAATGCTCCCCTTGAAGCAGAATCAAGCCAACTGCTTGGCTCAAGACCAACTGCTACCATGCATGAAACATGCAATTCTAGGTCACACGCCAGCAGGGTGCACAGGAAAATGCTCACAGCAGTCTCTCTCCCAGAGAAGCAACTCAGGTGGATGCTTTTCATACTGTATTTAGGCGACCATCACCCACCTCATCATGAGTTCCAGAGTGGCCCCAATTGGTGCAACGTTTGAAGATTTCATCTGTTCCCACACTCTGTCAACGGTGGCCACATCACGATACAGCATCGCCTGGGGAAGCCCACACACCTGAATGTCAGAAAGTCCGAAAGATTCACACCTCAGATGGGTTTGGACTAGTTTACCCATCCTTTTGTCTTCCAGGTCTGTGTTTTCATGGAGTCAAATTAGCGATGTGACTTCAGCATAGGCTGCTCCACAGAGTGCGTGCAATATCAATTCTGTTAAATGCTCAACCCTGGAACAGATCTTCGCCAAAAGGGACTGCCCTCCCCGAATGGCTCCCGTCGCATGTCTTCGTCGGGCAGTTGCCCGTAGCGGGCGCCGCGGTCTGGCCTTGCATTCGAACAATACCCGACGCTCAATTTGCGAATCCAGTCCGAAGGAACAAAGCCTACGCGCACGCTCTTCCCAACCTCCCGCTCTCATCTCAGAGAGACCCTATCAAGCCCCAAGTTCCCACGGCGGGACACCTGCCGCATATCCAAACACCGGCCCAAACTTGCTGCCCAGCGTGGGAGCACCCACCGCATGACGCCCTGCTTCCGTGCAACAATCAGCCTGTCCATGGCCATCAATCTAATGGGCAAACACGCCCCCGTTCCATGCCACATGCCCCAGCTGTTGCACATGCATTTAAATGCTGAATATTTTTCTGCGTGGGGGGCCCCTCAGCCAGCGGGGCCGCGAGCGATCCACTCAACCACGCGCAGATCGCCCCTGCCCCCCCCGGCGCCCCCGGATCGCTCCCCTGGGCCATGCCTTTTGCAGATCGTTGTGGAACTCTTCCAGGGCAGCGACGTGCTCCTGTTCTTCATCGCCATCCCACCGCCCATCCCCCCAGCCTGCGCCGCCCCTCCCCTCTGATGGATCGGCTGCCGAGATGCGCGGCTGGACGCCGGGGCTGGCCGGCGGCGTGTACACCTCGGGCTCGGGGTCGCTGTCGACGTCCATTTGGGCGTCCCGGCGCGCTGCAAGGCTCGGGAGGCTGGCGCCAAAAAGGAGGGTGCCAGCTAGGATGCTGGCCGTTGTTCTTGTGTTCTGTTTGCAGCCCGGGGGTGTGGGCATAAAATGAACACAAAAGAAACATTCTGATGGCATCTTCCGATGCTAGTAGACATTGGCTGTCCCTGCTGCAATCCAGTCCTTCCCTTCTCAGCTTTCTCGCCCACGGTAGGGAAGGGGTTCGCCCATCAAATTGGCACCGGCGTGGCATTTCGCCAGGGCAGCGCCCTGGGTACTGACACTGGCACAGATCAACGCCCGAGTCAGAAACGCGCTGCCCTAAAACATGCTGGCGGCTTTGAACCGCATCTCTGGCCCCTGGTGTTGAACACCAGGGGCGTCTTCATTGGCGAGGGCTGTTGCACAGCCGGGGCTTTGCTGGAGCGGTTCTCATTGGCTGACGTGGCACATTACTAATGTGGCATTTGCCAATTTGCGTGGGTGGAACTCCTCCAGAGGAATACCACTGCAAGGGATCCCCTGCGCGCAACCCCATCAGCGTTTTCATTGGTATGATGCTATTATACTGGCGGTGCTTGGCGGGACGGTTCTCATAGGCTGCCATGCCACCTTCCTATTGGACCAGTTCGCAGAACAACAGCAGTGCTGTTGCTCCCCTGCCCCCGTCGGTAATGTTGGGTATCCGTATCGGTGGGTGCCGTATGGGAAGAAGCTGTGGGAAAAAATATCACACAAAATGCTTGCAGTCTTTCCACATGCAATAGATCAAGTGCACAGATGCCTTCAACTGTAGACAACGTGTAGAATTGGTTAAAATGAACAAGTTGCGGGACAGTTGACACATTCTGTAACTCCGAAACTCAGAAACTCCTGAACAATGTTCTCAACAACAAATTTAGATAGATTAAGCCCCTAAATTGACAGGGAAGCCTGTGTCAGCCCTTCGCCGGCAAGAGCATTCACAGAGACTGGGCGTGGAATGCCCACAATTACTCAATCCGCTCCGTCACGTTCAGTTGCTGCTGGTCCGCATCGCGGCGATGCCAAATTCCTCTTCATGCATATTTTCGATGAATTAAATTGTGGTGAATTACAATGATTTGTGTTGATACATCGAGGCACTCTTCTGTTCATGAAACAATGCCCACATATCTGTGTCTAAAGAATTTCCCCTCAAGCGAACTCAAGCACTCTTGCCGCTGTAGTCCGGCAGTGCGGTGGCTCCTGCTCTCCCTCTCTCGGTTAAATCTGTGCCATTGTGGGTCCTGCGCGTCCGCTGCTTCTGCCCTGTGGGCCTTCTCTGGATGCACATTAGGTTTTGCACTTCCCAGACGTCCTTCATGCACACCTTGTGCGCACAAGTCCACGCAGTCTGTGAGAGGGCATCCAGCATCTCCTCCAAATGCGCAATAACTGCACAGATTTCTTCCACCTTCGCGTTTGGGTGCTCATTCATAACAACGAATTGGCGGTGCGTCGCTGGTGATGCCATTCGCAGCGGTCATGGACACACATGCGCTGACTCCGGTAGCAACTATCAAGGAGGTCTTCGGGGCCAAGGAAGTACCACAGGATGATTTCCAAACACAGACTCCCGTGCTGCCATGCATTGACATGGATTTCAATATCGATCCGGCTGCCACATGGTTCCATGCCTGTCCAGAGCGACCACTGGACCAGAAGAGACACAAACCCCTCTGTCAGCAATTCCCTTCCATTGCCGTGAAGTGTGCGACAAAACACTGAAAGAATATTCATCTCAAGCGAAATTAATTGTCATGTCCGATTGGCGTGGACTCCATGAGGCAACTGATATCAGCATGTCGCGTAAGCCAATAGCATCTCGCTTGAGTCGCTTCAGGAGCTGCATGAATTTCTAATCTCCACGTCCAAATGGCAAACGACTCTGTGCGTGGAACTGAGCCATATATGTTTTTATCAGAAGCATAACAGCCGAAGGAATATCAGTGCCACCAGATTCACTATCGAATGCAACACAAAAAAATCCAGAGGAGACAAGCTTCTCAAGCTCTTTGTTCATTTATGTACCAGAGGAAGATGCATCAGCAACGCTCCCGAGGCATTCAGTGAGCCTCGGGTTTGGCTAAGTCAGGCGCTGCACTAATGTCGCTCCACATGCGTTGTCACAGCGTCGCTTCAAGTTGAACCTGTGGGAGCAAGACGTAGTCGTTGTCCCTATAGTGGCAGCTTTGAATACGCATATGCTAGAGTGTGTCTTCGGCTGCAAAACGAGCTTCAGCGACCATTAACCTTTGAAAAAGTACGGTTTGAAGAACCCTTTTACTATATTTCAAGGGCCCTCAAGATGGAGCCAGCATTACCTTTGGTGAAAGTTCTCTTATCCACGCCGCTGGCTATTGATCTGTGCGGCTGCATGCGCACGTCTCCAAATGCTCCTCAAGCATTTCCATACGCCCAAGCTCGCTCCATGGTGGCTCCGCACAATGTGCGATATGTACATCAGTCTGCGTTGAATCATAGATCTTTTCTCATGTTGGCCTAGCACTGACGCAGGATGAAGCGCAGCCAGCCGCCAAGTGGTCAGCTGCTCCTTTGCCGCTGGCCTTTATCCGCGACATGACAGCTCAGGGAAGCCGAGACCCCAGACTGGGACCGTCCAGTCTTATTCCACTCACTCGAAAACGACCCTCAGGTGTTCATTTGGCATTATCCTTTTTAGTGGAAGCGGCCACCTGATTGCATCCAAAACAAAACCAATTCAAATGCATGATAGCGTAGAACGGTCCAGCAAAATCTAAACCTGCATTGACGGAGCTTGGAAACAGGCGCATTCCTGGCTTATTATCTATTGCACACATTAATTCGGAAAATCTGAAGACATGACTCAATGCAGTGAACTGCATGTCTATTCTTTTTCAATTATATATCCTCAAGGGATAATGCTGCGGCGCCGCTTTACTTGTTATGGGGATCGCTAAGACCGCAATCTGCACACGCAGCACAGATCTCATTAAAATAAGCTCAGAAGAGTCCAATCGATCACCCGTTGCGGTTCGATGCACCGGTTGCTTCGCATGTGCCGTTATAACTCGCGACAAAGTGCATCGTGCACAAGAAACACCACATTATGGCATGCAATTACGTTTTGCATGGCAGCCATTGTAATCTAGCTTCTTATACTCACAACTGTCAGAAATAGAATTCAAGACAGATTTCGTTCGTGGGTCATGCACAGGAAATAACACGAAATCTTGTATCAGCGATTAAAACATGCTAAATGGGACAAACTGCCTAATTTCAATCACGAGTTCTGCGCCATCGTGCTTCAATGTTCGTAGGTGGCGGTCAGTGACAGCCAACGTGCCCGAGCACCGACGTTGGTGCCACGGCGCGTGGAGCACTCGACTCACGTTTCCCTTTATCCTCAGGCTCTTCCAGCCTTCCAGCCAAGTCCCGATATCTTTTCTGTGCCCTGGCGGCTTCCGCCGTCAAGGATGCCAGCAGCTGCCGACAGCACACAACAAAGTACAGAGGCAGACAGGCCCTGCCAGCGTCCGCGACCGAAAGACAGCTGCTGAAGGGTCGCCAACGATAGGCGCATAGTAACTGAAGGCAAACCACCTCCGAGCGCCTTGTCGTCCAACCGATGCCGTAGCTGTTTTTGCTGGAACTGTGCTTTTTCTCTCCTTTCTTTCTTTTCACTACTTTGTGGTGTCTAACCAATAACTCTGCAGCACATTTGGCGCAACTCATACCCCAAACCGACGTGTCTGTGGTGTCAGCCAGCAACAGTGCAACACCAATAAGACGCGGGCGCGGATCGATAATGGCAGATGATAGTGTGTTATTACACATCATTGTACATAATGATAATAATTATCATCAACAACACGTGGCGATAATTATCGCCAAATGTTCACCGAAAATTGGGCTCTTTATGAAGTCCCGTTCGGAGCCCTTCGCGCCCTACCTTGGCCACCGCCTTGACGGCACTCTCCGCCGACCGCCACCCCCACTCCGCCGCCACCACCTCCGTCCGCAGGGCCTCAGGGTCCGTCCCGCCTGCCGCGCTCGCTGGGCGCCCCGCCCTGCCGACCCTCCCGGAGTTCCCGGCCCGAGACGTCCCGGCCCCACAGCCCCCTCCGGCTCTCAAACCGCTGGCTCGAAAGACGCTGGCCGGGGAGGTGGCGTCCCGAGACGGCCCCGTTGGCGGCGCCGCCGACATCGGCGCCGCGAGCGCCGATGCGTGATGCAGGGACATCAGATGAATGGCCGCGCTGAATTCCTCGTCGAATGGCCCGCTGGGGTCACAAGCGGCAGGCGGGGAGGGGCTGGCGAAGCCGGCCGCTCGAGGGCTGAGGTCGAGCAGGGCGCTGGGCGCATCGCCGGCGTGCTCCCCGAAGGGATCCGAGCAAGGAGGCGGGATTGGGGGGCCAGTTGCGCCCCGCCTCCGGCCCCTTCTGCTGCCTCCGGCGTCGCGGCGGATCTGCGTCGCCTGTGGGACGGTCACGGTGAACGACGGCGAGGGGCCGAGCGTGGTGGCGACCTGGTCCAATAACGTGTTGCCGGTGCGTGTGTTTGGCTTGGATGGCGGACGGGTTCAGTTGCGAAGTGCGACGTAGACGGGCGATTCGCGCGAATACGACAGATCCGATTTGCTTGCGCTTTGGATTCAGGAGAATGTGCTTGCCGACTTTTTTGGGCCGCACGCGTCATTCTGTGCATCCGTGCGAGCACCCGCAAGTCCGTACTGTATGTTAACGTGTGCGCCGCTGTGGCCGTTTAACTGTCATGACCAAAGGTCACGGAACTGCATCACTCCGCGTCGCTTTCAACAAAATAACTCAGCGTACTACTTTGTTCCAAAAGGCGTCCAACGTGGCATTGTTCACAGGCGGGGGACGGCGGTGTGGTGACGTGCCTTTCGTTTTGGGCGCCTTCCAGCTTCCGCGGAAAAGGGCACGGACTGCGAGCCTGCACGGTGCCGACCCAACACCTGCAAATTGCGCGTGCGCCTATCAGTCCAACAGTCCATCAGCTGCAACTCTCGAACGCTCATGGCGTCGAAAATCCCGTTCCGCTCGCAGCGGAACTTTCTCGCGGATTTGCGACGCTCGCCAAGTGCCCGTGCGCACGCCAATCGGGCAGTGCTTCAACACGAGCTTGCGTCACCTCAAGGCGGCAGCACCAACCGCCATGACGTCTGGCAGAAACTACTACCAGCACCACTCCTTTTCCTTCCCTGGTGTCGGGTTCGTCTCCCCACCCGAGCGCGTGACGCGCCAACCACACGACGACCCACACACAAATTCCCTGTTATTTATGTACATTTTTCATTAGTGCCGCTGTGCGTGCAAGGCGCCTCTCCCAAGGCCTCTGACGACCCCAACGGGCCCCAAAACCGGCCACTCCCTGCCCAGGGCTACGCCAACGCCCGCTCCCCCCACGGGCCCGCTCCCCCGCGCCGCGCTCACCTCTGGGGCACCCGGCTGGACGGGATCGCCGGCGATCGGATCCAGCCTCCCCCTCCCCTCCGGACCTGACTCATACAACGAGCGCGCCCGCCGCGGTGAACCACCGCCTGCGGCACCCCGGGCCCTCATGGCGCCCCCCAGCCCCTCCCCCGGGCCGCAGAAGGGGTTCCCGGACGGCCAATTGCGGTCGGATCTCCTGCAGACACAGATTGGCAGCCTCAGCGGCCTGGCTCACGGCGCCTGCCGGTTCGGTATCGACTGCAGCGTGGCGACAATCGCTCTGGCGCTCGCCGGATGAATCGCGGCTTCGCCGGGCGGGGGCTGGCCGGGCCAGGTGGCGATCGGCGGCCTTGCCTGGGCGCGATCTGGGGGTGGAGGGTCGATGGCGGTGCTGCGCCGTGGCCGGTCAAACGTCCATACCGGCTGCCGCTGGACTGGCCGGAAGTCAACCCGTGCTCTGGGCGGGCCAGCTGGGACGATCGAAGGCGGGCGCAGCAAAGAGGCGATCCCGTTTTGGTGTGTGGGAGGCCAGATCCCGGCTGCGTGGCCGGTCGGTGGCGCCGCGCGCCCCGAGCGGCCATCCCCGCCCCAGCCCGTTGACATCGCCCGGCCGACTGTCGCTGGGGCAACTACCCCCACAAGCGGAGCCCACAGGTCCGGTGGAGCCAGATCAGGTCCCGGCGATGAACCCGTTTTGCGAGATCCCACCGAACGGCGAGAGGCCTTCGGGCCACGGCAAGCCCGCTCACACCCGCCTGGAACAGCCCCGGGTGTCCGCGCACGGAAATGGAGAACGGGGCGGGATCCCCCAGCCGATGGGATCAAATCCAATCCCTTTTGGCGCGGATCCGGGCGCAGAAACCGGCGCGGGCGGCCCGGAGGTGTCGGGCGCGATCTCCCGGCTTGGCGCGCGCAGGCCGGTGACGCCAGCGTGTTACCTGGTCGTTACGGCCGTCCCCGGCGCTTGGGGGCCCCCGCGGGGCTGAGGCGCCCGCGGCGGTTGTGGCTGGGATCGTTGCGGCGGGGGCTGCGCTGC